ACATGGATCCTATTGACAACGTTGTCAGTTGTGCATGCCACTTTAGAAAATACAAATAAAGAAAAATTGCGCTTGAGTAAAAATAGGGTGATATCATTTACATGTTTCATTTGGATGTGGATGGAATTGCTCAAAGCTATCAATAAGTCATTCAATGATGTTCATTTGAAATTTGAGAAAATTGCCTCAACAGCCTTGAAAATATTTTTCCTTGCAGTTGCCATCAACAGTCGTATTTGTCTGTCCGGATTCCTTCGAATTATCGTTGATCTCAACAGATAAATTGCTGGGCGAACTTGCAGTCGAGCAGCAAAGCGATTTGTTGATTAAAAAGGTTGACTTTACGAAAGCATGTGAGGGAACACACCTTGCTGTGACCTTGCTCTGATCCTTTTCCTACACTCCGAAAATAACTCTCCAGCAGATCTCGATCTTTGAATTAAGCGAGCACAATGATTGGACAGATTATACTTATTATACTCGCACGGTCAGGTACCTGTACAAAGGACATTTCGTATGTCCCCTTATTTCCGGCTTTAGGAAGGATTTCAGCCCGATTCTTGGAATGTCCTTGTGTTCCCAATGCTTTTGGGCTAAAACGAGATGTGTTTCCAAAGTAGTTCAGCAGTCGCCCAGGGTGCTTCTATGGCATGTATGAATGAAGCATTTATACCACGGTAGGTTTCCCCACAGGCCACCTCTTTAGTGTACACTGTGCATACATCTAACTGCTCACATGGAACTACTGGAATGCGAGGTCATATGATCTCTCTTGTGACGGCTTAGCACTTATCTTTCCTTCCATGCATCAGTCCTTTCAACTGGGATCAGTTGTATACAACACCGGTCCCCAACCCCCAGGCCACGGACCGCTATCGGTCCGTGGGTCATTTGGGACCGGGCCGCACAGAAAGATTAAATAACTTACGTTACTTCCATTTAATTCATTTCGGAATCTGAAAGATGTTTCATTTTGAAAAATTACTGGATACTCTAGTACCTGCAGCGGCTCCTCTCCTGTGGTAGAGAGGAAAGAAATTTAATCTGTGCTGTATGTTGCACATTCAGCACATTTGACAATAAAGTTGACTTGACTTGGCTTACATCCGTCTACAGTATGTCACTCTTGACTCAGGTCAAGGTGCGCTTCTCAGTCACGTGATAGGTTACCGCGAAAATGAAACCCAAGAGCGAGCAAAATGAGTGAAAAAACAAACGTCTTTGGGAAGGGGAAAAGGCCCAGCCAGGAGACAGAAGAGGAGCCTACGACTTTCATCAAAAAGAAGGCTGCATTTAATAGACAGTATCAGGAGTCCTACCTAAAATATGGATTTATCTCAATGGGAAATTCCCACACACCAAGCCCACTCTGTATATTTTGAAGGCATGTTTAAACATTACCATAGTGATCGCAGAGTGTTGCAGCCAGATAGGACGTTCCTTGTGTCATGATTGGTGTTTATTATTATGTTACGAAAAAGAGAACAATTTTCATGCAGGTCATATTAAATTATTTGGTTGTATTTATCCGGCAGTTGTATTTATAAGGCCGGTCCCTGAAAATATTGTCTGACATTAAACCGCTCCGTGGGGCAAAAAGGGTCGGGGACCCCTGGTATACAACATGTATTACCCGTGACATTGTAAAACACTCCTGACAAATGCATACACTGAATGAGTGTCGTATTCAAAATATGTATATTTCCACACTATAAGGCACATCTAAAAGCATTCTAATTTTCCCAAAAGCCGACACTGCGCACTATAATCGATGCACCTAACGTATGGTGTTAATGTCTCGATATTCCCCATTGAGTTGTTTCCCTGCTAGTGTTCCTATGCCATCTAGTGGTAATTATTCGCAGAAACCAATTGTAACCTAAAAGGGTTCTGACCGACACTAATTGACATGTGCAGTCGCCAACACACACTCAAACAGAGAACTACTTTGTGAGCTCTGCGCAGCCATTATGAAACAAAGTTAACAGCAAAAGCATAGTTAACTACTGACTAAACGAAGGAAGAAGGATACTTCTAAGGACATTTAGCCCTTTGTGGATGTGAGCCCACGAGTTTTGTGTGCCTTTATATTGAATTAATTGTCTTCAGAACATCTGTCTTTCATTTATTGTTTTGGAATGCCATTTGTATTTTTATGTTTCATGTCCGTGTTTGTGACCAGTTCCCATGGCTTTGTTACAGTTGCAGCAATTGTGAAGGCTCTGTATAACTAACGCTGTATTGTATTGTATTCCCTTTAGCGTAGCTCCATCTAGTTGATGCATAGCGCAACCGCAGCCACAATTGTAGCTTCTCTTCTCTGCGCCTTTATAATGCAGTGCGCCCTATGAATGAAAACAGTTTTGAAATAGGCCATTCATTGAAGGTGCACCTTGGATGTATTGTATTGTATTTTATTGTATTGTATTGTATTGTGTTGTATAAGCCGAAGTGCTTTATAGTGCAAAAAATATGGTAGGTGGAGCATATTCCAGATTATTTAGGGCAAGAGGTGACGTAGACCCTGGACTGGTTGCCGGGGTGCATAATGAGAAACAACCATTCGCACTCGCATTCATACCTATTGGCAGTTTTATGTCTTCACTTGACCAAAGAAGCGTGTGTTTGAAAGGTATAAGGAAGCCAAGTATTTGGAAAAAGAACACGCAAGCTGTAAACGTTAACCATGTGAGTGGTCATATGATAATACAAAATGTTTGTATTTGCATGATAGGGGTGTAATTCAAAGTTTTTGTTTTATCATGTTGCTGAGAACACTGTTCCCTGCCACAACCGTGTGTGTGTGTGTGTGTGTGTGTGTGTGTGTGTGTGTGTGTGTGTGTGTGTGTGTGTGTGTGTGTGTGTGTGAGTTTAATCCTACGCGCGCGCACACACAGAATTGCTGCTTTAAAGTGCTTACGTCTGAGAATGACTGCAGCATTTGCATAACAGAATTAGCTGTCATTACGGTCATGCTGCTGGCTGCGATCAGAGCATGAGCCAGCGATTCCCATTCATGTCCAAATCCTTTTTGATGTGCTGCTTAGGAAATGGACGGTGACGTGTAATTGCATTTTGTTTTGTGTCACATCATATCGCATGAATTGACAGGGGCTTTAAATCATCCGAGTAAAAATGCAGAGAATTTTCACCTTGAAAGTGACCTGACGTGACAGTCAGTTCAAATGAGAATTTATAAAACAACAACAATATTTCTGACTTTCCATTTTGGAGATATTCGAATATGAAATGGACTCATTCTGCTGCTTGAAATAATAACTTTAGTTGTGGCCACAAGGTGGAAATATTGGCTTTGTAATCCTGGTCAAATTTTTTTTCCTTTTTCATTGAAGGCTTGTGAATCACAAAGACTGAGTCACACACACAATCAATCCACGCTCAGCCATCTCACTGTGATGTCCTCTAGCACTGCTTCCTATTTAAAAAAAAAAAACTTAAGTATACCGTTGCTACAGAGACAGAGCGGCAATGTTGTTTTCCAACCTGTGACGTCAGCCAGGCTTAGGATCAGCCAATCGCAAGTTGCAATCCGGCTATGGCATCACTCAGCACAGAGTGGCATAGGGTGTGTGTGTGTGTGTGTGCGAGCGAGCTCGTGTTGATGGGGCACTCTATCTTATAAAATCCAATTTAAAGGTGTCCACTATCCACAGAGAATAGTCATGATGGAGCTTTTATTGAGGCTTGCCACATAAATGTTGGGTGAAAAATCAACGCTCAGTGCACCACCATCAGATGTTATTGAAAACAGAAACACCATCCATCAGTCTTTTTTTTTTTATCCACCATAAACATCAGGGCTCAAGATGTGACGCTGAGTTGGTCTGAGTGTCTTTCAGTTTGAATGTTGCGAACAGCCTGGTAGCATCTTCACATCCACATCTACTTTCATGTCAAGACAATGATTGTTTTGAGAGCACCACATACTATGCCATTTGTATACTTTGACCATCAACCGGTCTCTGTTTCACTTTATCATAGATTGAGTGTTATTCAGAAAGGTTTCACGTTGTACATGAGTACACAAGATGACCTAACTCAAAGACAATCCTAATTGTCTGAGATGTAGCCTGAAAAATGTGAATTTAGAGAGTATCGGTTGACAAATAAGGATGCAGAGTTTCAGTTCATTTAAGAACAGGGCACATTCCTTATCCCTCCCCCGACCGACGATGTGTTAGTTCTTCTAGCCATTCAATTATATAACCACTGCACTTATGTAATGGAATTTAACAGCATCAGGTGACAAGTTCTCTACAAATTGTACAATTTTGCATTTGTCAAGAATGTGAAACCATAGTAATACAAAGACGTCAGCTGCTGTGTCAATTCTTTCTGGGGAGAAAAAAAAAAGCCTAAATCCTGTTCAGTGTGAAAATGTGCACGAGTTGGGGCTACTGGATAGAAATTCCTCAATGTGTTGTGTTGCTTGTTATCCTCTGTCGATTGCTCTGCAATCTGAGAGGGACAAAAAGGACCTCAAAATGTGTATTTTTCCAGTCATGTTATCCACTTGACTCTTTGCGAGACCAACGCAACAACCAGCTGTCCTTCCGGCCATCCATTTTCTGGTGCTTCATGCTGCAGAAAGCCAGACGACCACTGCATGTAGTAAATCACAGGGCACATATTGCGACCACACCGTTAGTCAAATCAAATCAAATATGTGACTGTATATCACATCCTTGTTACGTATGATTGGTTATGTATAAAATCGTTGTTTCTATTGCACGAATAAAACAACAAAATGCTTCTTTTAATATGCCCAAACTTTCGACGGGAAACTAAATTAGCAGTTTTATCCCGTATTGTGTGCAGAAAATTAGGGCTGGCAACAAATATATGTCTGGATCATCAGTCAAAGTTTTATTGATGTTAATGGTTTATGATTTTATCCCAAATACAAAACCGGTAAACTTGACAAATCACAATAAATGTCTTCAAGGTTTGACCTAATCTCTGTTGTGTTTGTGTTCCAGAACTCAAAGAGTGCCCAGGGACTGGTGGGACTGAAAAACCTGGGAAACACAGTGAGTGTAGTTCCCCATTCAAAAATCATGTGACATCTGTGTCTGGTATAGAGAGAATTTGTACAGACTTGCAGTTTTTGAAGTTTGTGTGTTACAGTATATGTTATCGGTTTCTTGGTATCTGCGAACGCCAAAGTGGCAGTTAGTGGGGTGGGATGGGGGTGGGGGTCTAGAAGAGTATCTGCTAAGCAACAGGCTTCGGTAGGGTGAATTCCTTTAATAAATGGGACTTGTGTGTTGCTAGCTCATCGGAGCGCTCTGAACACTGGACCAAGGAGCACGTATTCTCTTTCCCGTTTACCGGCTTTGAGCCTGCCAAAATGCACGTTGTGCATGTGACTCCAGCAGCATCGTATGCGCTACACTACTGCTACACTTCCCCAGAAACCTTTTTGTCTTCATGATTACATTTCAGCTGGAGATGCTTATTTTGTGTCATCCATTACAAAATGTATCAGTCTGTACTTTTTATGTATCAAAGCGAATATACACTGCAAAAAAAAACTAGCTTGGTACTCAATAGGGTATGGTTGTCTGCTATGACCAAACAAATTTGAAATTTGAAAAAAAAAAAAACAAAATCATAATCTTGCATCTATGGCCATTCATCATTCACCCATGCTCCAGCTTCATGTGAATCAGAATCAAGAATGACCAAGATCAACTTCAAGGAAACGGAACATTCTGTTTTGCTTTCTTTCTAGTGTTTCATGAATAGTATCCTGCAGTGTCTGAGCAACACACACAGCCTGCGAGACTACTGCCTGCACAACTCGCACCGCAGAGACCTTAACAACAACAGCCGCACTAACACCACCCTCATGGAAGGTGAGTGACTCTCAGATCAAATTTGTTGCCTCTCTTAACCTCCGGATTTGATTTGAATCTCTCCATTTGCAGTCAGAATGCGGAATCCATTTCATGTGTGTGTCTGTGTTGGTAGAGTTTGCCAAGCTGATACAAACCATGTGGTCATCAACCAGCAGCGAAGCTGTCAGTCCATCTGAATTCAAAACTCAGATCCAGAGATACGCTCCAAGATTTGTGGGATACAAGTAAGCCTTTTATTATTTTTGTATTTTTTTTAATAAATAATATCGTCTTGTGTTTTTCTGCAGGATAATTTGTCTTACGAGCAGTGAGTAGAGGTCATAGCAGTGAATTATTTTGTGTCTTCTCCAGCCAGCAGGACGCTCAAGAGTTTCTCCGCTTCCTCCTCGACGGCCTGCACAATGAAGTCAACAGAGTCACGGTCAGGCCAAGAGGCACTGTCGAAGATTTTGATCACCTGCCGTAAGTATTGGGAGACAACCAGCACAGAAGTAGGCAAATGCTGCTGAAATAGAAGTCTAGGAAAAGCCAATGAACTTTATTACAGCGGAAGTCAGAGCAAACATTTTCTTTGCAATATGTTCTGTGTGCTCCCACTGGCCTAAGTGTGGCATTCTGATTAATATTGCATTTCTGGAGATGCAAAATCTCCCTGTTTTTATCCATCTCTGTTATGGTTCCGGACTAGTCTGGAACAGCAACAGATCCCACAAAACGCAGACCAAGAGAAGATTGAATACAAAAATGGTTTATTCACCAAATAAGGTCACAAGACCGACAAAGTACAACATAAAACGCTGGTAAGAAAATAACCAAGATAAGAACGAGTCTAACCACTAGGGAAATCAATAACCCCGCACCCCCCCCAAAAAAAAATACCCCAAAACCACCGGAGGATAACGCAAAAATAAAATAAGAAGATAAACAACAACAAGGCAAAAGCACAACAAACAAGAAGTACAAATCCAGACTATGACTGTGACTGTGATCGACAACGGCGACGGTCCAGAAAATAAGCGCTTGGACATGAAACGTGAGCAAGACGAATATTTCGACAACAGGTGATGGCTTTAACAGTCCCTTATAAAAGGTGAAAGATGATGACATGATGAGAAACAATTGTGGAACGGGTAGTGGACGACCCTCTATTGCCACCTGCTGGAGACAGATAGAACAGAGTCATGACGATCTCAGGGCCGACATTTTGTCCAGTACTGCCGCCTGCTGTCGACTGAAACTATTGTCGCAGTGTCCCAGGGCTCTGCTTGCGATTGTCACGTGACCAAACGAAGAAAACAAGGTGAGCCGTGTCATACGCAAGCTGAGCCCTTGGACACTGTGACAATAGTTTCAGTCGACAGCAGGTTGGCACTCCAGGGCAAAATGGCAGCTCCCTGAAATGGATCAAAACTGGTATGTTTTTCAAGCTTACTTCCCATACCACAAAAGAAATATGAATCAGAATACTGTGTATAGATTTGTGGGGGCACGTACAGAATATTGCAAAGCACATTATTTCACTTGACTTTCACTTTAAAAAGCTTTGAAAAAAGAGTTCTAAGTAGGAGCATTTTTATCTTCAATATTTGTTTGTATTAATGACATTGTGTTGATTTATGTATCTGGCAATTAGGAGATCATTGAAATAGTTTCAGCAGCACACAGTCTGCTGTAACAGCAGAGACCTAAAGCATCTTGTGGAATTACAGGTCCCTGATTTCAATCACTTTCTGGTCCCTACACACTTGCAAATAGTTGTTCAATGAATTGCATAATTTGTGTTTCTGTGTTGTCTACTGTAGGTAACATAAATGTTGCACTTGACTACATGACTATGTAATACTATTTAAATAGTGAGTAATTAGTTGTTGGGTTAAAATATCATGCAACCTGTCCCTTCCATGTACAGTGTGACATTAACAGACGTTGCATTGTCCATTATCAGAGATGAGGAGAAAGGGAAGAAGATGTGGACTAAATACCTGGAGAGGGAAGACAGTAAAATCGTTGGTGAGCTGCATGAAGAACAATATCATTTAAGCACAACTGTCCCAAGACAGATGAAGTTGACCTTTGAAATGTTTTGTCTTTCAGACTTGTTTGTTGGGCAGCTCAAGAGCTCCCTGACCTGCAGCCATTGTGGTTTCTGCTCAACTGTCTTTGACCCTTTCTGGGATCTGTCCCTTCCCATTGCCAAGGTTTGAACACTCAATACACCACACAATGTGTGCAAGGATGTTTTATTCATTGACTTATATACCCACACTATTGCTACAAGATACTTCTCATCCAGTCGACTTAAATTCCTTGACATCAACCCTCCAAAAACATACCATTCAAGTCAAAGGAAATTTGATAACTGGTCTCTCAGACAAGTGAAGGGAGAAGACATGTTTGAATTTTTTAGGAACATTGGAGATCTGAAAGCGCATCTTGCATTGCAAACTGTCATTGTCCTCTGAATCTGTTTGCATATTGGTGTGTGTGCGCGTGTGTTTGTGTTTTTGCGCTAATGTGAACGCATCTATGTTTACGCTTAGAAGGGCTATGGTGAGGTGAGCCTCATGGACTGCATGCGGCTCTTCACCAAAGAAGATGTCCTGGATGGGGATGAGAAGCCAGTACGTTTCAATGCACAACAGCATCTTCCACATTGAGGATCGTGGCTTTTATGCCTGTACCGAATTGCATTGTTGTTTTTTCTCAACAGACGTGCTACAAGTGCAAAGCTAGACGAAGATGCACCAAGAAGTTCACAGTACAGAAGTTCCCCAAGATCTTAGTTCTGCGTATCTTTTCTGCTATTAACACTTTTTGACGATAACTTAAAGCTTGAGGGGAGTGTGTTGCTACATAACCGGGACTTTGCCACGATAAGTGAAAAAAAACGCGATGGAGTGTTGGCTCCCCCCCTAGGAATTTTCGTGCAAGTGTATGTGGGTACCAGCATGTTTAAAATATGTCAACTTGACATATTTGAGACGACTACAGCAGCACACATATTTACTTAAATCTCTCATTATAAAACCTTATACAGTAATTAACATTCATCATCATTGCCTTCTGAGAGAGACAGAGACTTGTGTTACTCTCACTTTACGCCACTCTGACAGTGTAGCCGCCATTAGCCTCCAGCTAGCTGCTGGCCAGCTATCCCCGCGCAGCCGATGTGATTATGATAAGACAATTAATCAAGATTGATGAAGAGGAGGTGAAGAGAGATGCGCTGCTTTTTTCGGATAAGCCCAATCAGCCCCTCTCTTTCTCTCTAGCTCACTGGCTCGCGCTCACTTTCTCTTTTGCTCTCCCACACTCTCGCTTGAGCATGTGAGCCCCCCCGAACCCCCATCGTGCAAGTAGCAAACACAACAGTGTGAGTAGACACTGATCGGAGAGTCCACAGCTGACTAGACACTGATCAGAGCGTTAACCACGTGTCGAGACACAAGGGAAGGTGCTCGGCGGTGCTGCGAAGATGCGCAACCAATCAGCTCACGGGATAAATCAAACTCATGCTGTCATTGGTCGACGTCGTGCCGGGAACCTATCATGTGTACAGCCATGTACAAAACGTCTGGGCCATTTGCCATTTTTTCTGAATACAGTACTTTGGAAGAAAAAAACGCGATGTAGTGAAGCTGCGATAAATGAAGCGTGATATAGCGAGGGATCACTGTAATCCAATATCCCCTCGGGTGTAACATTCCAATGAAACACGTTGTCCTACCTCGAGCAACAATTCACTTTTGACATAAAATGTCGAACCTCCTTCAACACAGAGCTGAAGCCCACAGTGTCACCTCCAGGCAAGGATGATCAAAAGGGACTTTTCAATTCCCCCGGCTCCACAGCTCGTCTTCCATTTCATGTCTGGGCAATCAACTGCAAAAGTCTACTGACTAGCACCGGTGGTAGCACTAGCTAGCATTTTATAGTTAGATAACATTTGCATCCATGTACTAAAAAAGAGCTCTGAAAAGGAAACGAGAGAAAACATGCTCCTTGACTCCTTGGTGTACAGACCTCAAGCGCTTCTCGGAAGCGAGAAGAACCAGCAAACTGTCAACCTTTGTCAACTTCCCCATGAAGGATCTTGACTTGCGAGAGTTTGCCTCCGAAAACAGCAGTAAGTTTGCGAAGAAAATACCCTTCACATCAAATGAGCACGTAAACGTCCTCCGAAGCTGTACTTCAAGGACGATATTGTTGATTTTGAATGTTGACGCATAAAGCCCTTTTGCTCATGTTTTCTGTTGTTTTGCAGTAAATGCGGTGTACAACCTGTATGCAGTGTCCAACCACTCAGGCACCACAATGGGGGGTCACTACACAGCCTACTGTCGCAACCCTACATCTGGGGAGTGGTACACCTTCAATGACTCCAGGTGTGTTTGAACTGTTACCTAGGACCAAAAACGAGACCGTTCTCAAACACATTGCAGTGACCAGAATAATGCTTCATTTGTCCCCTTTAATCAATAAGATCCCTTGATGTATAAGCTTGATTAAGACGGTCAAATTGCTTAGTCGGTGGCCTGATGGTCCAGTGGTTTGCGCGTTGACATCACATTGCAGAGGTCGTGGGTTCGATCCCGGCTCCGGCCTTCCTGCGTGGGTTTTCTCCGAGTACTCCGGTTTCCTCCCACATTCCAGAAACATGCATGGTAGATGAATTGAATACTCTAAATTGTCCCTGAGTGTGAGTGCACACGTTTCCTTTTATTAAAAAAAAAGTCCAAAGTTTACCTGAGGGAAAAAAATGTCCAATGGAAATATCTGGAGATATGCTTGACAAATAACCACGTGTTCAACCAATTTGCATGTCTAAACTTGTGTGACGAATTGACACCACGATATTACGTTTTTTAAACTTCACCCAATTTTCGCAAACTAACATGGGGAACAAACTGCTGTGAATATTAGGCTTATTCCATCATCATGCTTTCATATTTCACAACCATTTGCTCCCATCTTGTGGGAGCAAATGGTTAATGATGCAGCATAACAGCTACTCATAATGATGAGTAGCTGTTATGCTGCTTACCCTCACAAAAATTCTCCCAAATACAACGAATTACTACCGGGAGTGCTTTTATTTTTACCGTTTATCATCCACACCACAATTGTTTTCCTCTGTGGCTGAGTTCAGGTTGTGTCGTGTCAACTTTGATTATTGTGCAGCTTTAATTATTCATGCCAATCATAATTGTACTTTGAACGAAAGCGTTTTAAATCTGAGTGTTAATGACATTTATAATGGCTTAATTTGCAAAACATCAGTTCTTCTTCTGACTTTAGTCACCCCTGATTTAGATAACAAATGAGAGACGTTGAAGTGTACTTGGCAGACTCATGAGTCTGATGTATAGCTAGTGACAATTTCTGGATCGAGGCTAGATTTTCTTTCCCAATTCTCCACATGTCTGCACGGCGTAATAAATGGCAACACTTGTCCCTTTGCAGAGTAACGCCAATGTCCTCCAGCCAAGTGCGGAGCAGCGACGGCTACGTCTTGTTCTACGAGCTGGCTTCCTCCTCGCGCATGTGAATCCCGGTCAGACGACGACAGGCCGCAAGCAGCACTCTCGACAAACGGTCGGATGGAAAACAAAGCGAGGACACGCGCACGAAGGCTCGCCTCCACCAGGATGGAGGCTGCTTCTCTCAGCAGCGATGGTGGCAGAAAGGACACACAAAAACGGAATCACCAGCCCTGCTTTCACCCTCCTTGTCTATACACACTAACGTTTTCATCCAGGGTAGAGGGGTGTGTGTGTGTGTGTGTGTGTGTGTGTGTGTGTGTGTGTGTGTGTGTGTGTGTGTGAGTGTGTGTGCGAGATGTGTGTGTGTGTGTGTGTGTGTGCGTGTGCGCGTGCGCGTGCGTGCATGCGTGTTTAGTGTGTGTGTGTGTGTGTGTGTGTGTGTGTGTGTGTGTGTGTGCGCGCGCGCGCGCGTGCATGTGTTAGACGGATACAGGGCAATAATCCCATTGACCCCAAGGAACCTATCCACATCCATCTCCCAAGTCTCTCTATGCACCACAAGTTCAACTCCTGACTGCGCCTTCACGTTTTCTTGGTTGCCTCGAACCGTTCAAATGACTTGCAGGTTTTTTGACTCCTTTCTGCTTTAGAGAATTTGTTTTAGTTGTCATTTTAATGTTATTTGAGATTGCAAAATCATTTTAGCGCGTCATCATTACAGCCATTTTGGACTTGAGCTAAACCGTCCTCACTTCACAGTAATGGTCGAGATTACAAGACGCTTGCAGCCCACCGGCCACATGCACTGCACCAAAACACTCCTTCATTTTTGTCAGCATCAACTTCACTTTTTGCTCAAGAAATGGCTGTGATGCCCGTGGCACTGTGAGCAGTGTACTTTTAATTGAGCTGGCTTTTTCCCCCCGCCACACATGGTTGCTATCGATGTTTAAAAAGTGTTATGAATGAGTGGAGGGGCTAGCATTTGACATGGATTCATTCTTATGATAAAAGTACCGGTAATGCTTAAGTCCTCATCAGTCCATATGAGGTCTTCCTCTCCTGTTTCATGCCATTGAACAACAAGAAAAGAATGTTTCAAGAAGACAAAAAACATGATCTGTATATTTTTATATTCTGATGCAATATAGAGAATGTACAATTCAATGGTGCTGAAGGTGACCCATAACTGTTGTCATTTGGTTTAGTTACCAGGTTTCAAGAAAGAAAGAAAAAAAAAAAGATATTTATGCTTAAAGGATATTGTAATGAGACACTTTTTAACAGTGGCAGTCAAAAATGAGTAAATATGGTAAATGGATATATATGAATAAAATTCCACTAAACTATTGCTTTTTGCAATTAATTTGTCTTTTAGACAATCTGCATCTCTTTTACTCAGGTGAGAAACCTCTCACCCAGTTGGCACACACTATGTTGCTGCGCACTTCATTTTCCGACAAATGATGGACCATACACTGAAATACTTCAAAAGGTAAGTGCTGCAGATGCTTCATTATCCAAAGGCCCAGTTCGGCAGGTCTCACATTTTCGATTGCCTTCAGTGTAACGGTGTTACTCTTAAGGTTCACCAGTCAGGAAGGTGGTTTGTAACAGTTGCGTTTACCTGTATTTCTGTTTTGCCACTAGACTGAGCTGCTGTTATGCTAATTGGAGTCACATGGTGCATAACTTATTTTGTATGTACATTGTTTTCCTTTTCCTATAATCTTTGTGCAATTTGTAGGACTACGTTGTTAATAATATTTAGTTTGTAAGATAAATTAAAAGGGTACATTTTACGAGTTTAAGTTCGAGGGCACTTTTTTCTGCTAGCACAAGTCTGAAGCTGCCCGCAACACTGATAGTGGACAGCTCGACGTCGTGCGAGTAGTGCAAATGAAGTGCATTTACGAAGCTGAATAAGTCATATCTAAGTACCCCCATTTGTTCACTCGAAGGCCAATATTTCATTTGTGTTTTATGTTTCTATATTTCGTAAAGCAAAGTTTAATTGTACACCATTTTGTTTGTCGCACCAGTTCTACGGGTTGACTGTGGTGTAAAAAGAGAAAACAGACCACAGTAAACATTAGTGCAAAAATACTATTTGTCTCTCTGTTTGTGATAATACGTATTCTGTTTGATTAGGCCTCTGGGTGGCCCGGTGCCCAGTGGTTAGCGCGTCGACCTCCCAGTGCGGAGGTCGTGGGTTCGATCCCGGCTGCGGCCTTCCTGTGTGGAGTTTGCATGTTCTTCCCAGGCCTGCGTGGGTTTTCACCGGGTACTCCGATTTCCTCCCACATTCCAAAAACATGCTTTGCAGGCTGTTTGAACACTTGAAATTGTCCCTTGGTGTGACTGTGGGCGTGGTTGTTTGTCTGTGTGCCCTGCAATTGGCTGGCAACCGGTTCAGGGTGTCCCTCGCCTACTGCTTGAAGACAGCTGGGATAGGCTCCAGCACCCCCCTGTGAGGCTTGTTAGGATAAAGCGGATCGGAAAATGGATGGATTGATGGATTAGGCCTATTTGACGCAGAAAATTGGATTGGTGACTTGAACTAGGTCATTATCTTGCTGTGACCTTTCTTTTGCTTTCGTTTGGCTTCCCTCCTCTATGAACCCCTTGGCGCACATCTTAGTTAACTTCAATTAAGACCGTGGTATCACATTTATCACAAGGGATTGGCAGAGTGCAGAACTGTATTTTCCGGGTAGAATGCCACATCCAATATGGCGGACTGGCGACGTATATCAGCAACGGTTTACTTTTTTTTTTAATCTTTATTGAACAAGTCAGGATACAATTCTCAGTAAACAGAAAAGAAAACGAACACGTTATTAATACATGCATCAGGAACGGTTTACCTGCTCGAGGCGGGCTCGCATGATGACGACACAGCTTCCCTGTACAGTACTGAGTGCGATTGAGCGGTCGGACGACACGAAGGGCGCATGCATCATGTTAACTTCCTTGGTTAGTGGCGCCGTGGTGTTTCCTGGCCTCTTCTACGGGCTGGGAAAAATACTCAAGTTCAAGTTCAGACACTGGGACGACGCAGACGTAGTGACCGTCAGTGAAAGGTCAGTTATTGTTGCAACCTCATTGAAACAGGTGCCACTTGAAGCCTCCGCCTTGCGTTTCAGTTTAAAACACCAAAGCTAACGTCTTAAATCGATTTCCTGATTTCGAGATGGTTATATAATAACTGTTAAAATTGCTTGTCAGTTTTTAGTTTGCAAAAGAATACTTTCACAGAGGTGCTCGGTTTACGGAGACGTGAGCACATACGCGCCGTAAGTAATGTAACAATTACATATACCAACACAACAACGAACTCGTAATTACGGCAAATAGAACTGCATGAAAAACACTTGAAGTCCATACATCTTAAGTGCGGCTTCCACTGAGTGTGCCGCATGAAGACGCAACCTACGTTAATGCCTCACAGCGCAAAAGTTAATTGCGCGCCGTTCGTAAACCTGAAATGTCGTATATCGAGGGCAGAGGACTCTCTGTATTGGCCAAGCTTAAGAAGTTGATTACGTAATGCATTTTGGTTTTGTTTTGGGTTTTTTTTTTGGTTCCAGGCTTGTTTCTGCCATCCACGCTAGCATTTCGACTGCAACTGGAATCACAGTAGTGTCATCTTGCAAGAATGTCATGACTGACAGGTAATTTCAGGTAATAAGGGATGAGCGGATCAGTGGAACCTCCACAGTCAAATTAGAAATGTAACCAAACATTTTCTGATGAATACAAATCGTTTCACCGTGAAATAAATACGTTACGTGTTTTTTTTTTGGTTTGTTTTTTGAAACCAATGCAAGTGACGATTGCAAGATTTTTTTCAATATATTTTGACAGACTATCAGGATAAAGTGGTGGGAGATATCAAGATATGTAATGTTAAATGGCAAATACATTCAAGTTTACAAAATTGCAGTTTCATTCGAGTTTATTTAATGGCAAATTCATAACCAGCTGAATACTATACAAAAAGAGTGCACCTCACTTGTATTCAAGTTAAACGAGTCGTCTACTGGTTGAACCTGCTTCTCTGGCTGACAAAAAACAAGTGGTGCGGTTGTTTTTCAAAAAAAAAAAAAGCTTTAGCGACCTCTGTAATGCTTAAAAAAACGAATTTGTTAAATGTTTCCAGAAATGTAAACTACAGGTCTGCTTTTGTGAAGTTCACTCTTCCTGTGTGGGGATTAACATGTTCTCTGCGTTTATACACTTCAGTCAGAGTTGTGAACTTACCAAGCACTTTGACTTGCAGTCTTTTAAGCATTCACCACGACATCTATACAAAATTCCACCACACAAGTGCGGCAAAAACATAAGTCAGTAAGTCCGATGGCAACAGTAATGCAAACAAAGTGGCCTTACCACATCAACTTTTCATGTTTCACAAAACAATATGTGAGCATGTGCAAAGCCCTTCTTAAACACTGAACCTAGCTATGGACACTATATAAATCAATATATACGTGTGTGTGTGTGTGTGTGTGTGTGTGTGTGTGTGTGTGTGTGTGTGTGTGTGTGTGTGTGTGTGTGCTCGATTTGGAAATTGCAATCTCATGCATTGAAATGTCAATATGAATTTAGTTAAGCGTTCAGCCCTACTTGTGACGGATAATTTTGCACTTGTTATGCTGTCTTGTAACAGTATTCTTTTGTTAACAAATTCTTCTCACCCTACACAGTCACTGGCTGGTCAATGAGTTTATATTGTTTGGCTCGTCCTATATGACCACTGACCTCTTAGCCATGTACCTGAGCCACTACCATATTCAGAGGCTCAGAACTCAGACCAGCCTGTACAACCGCCACTCTCAGCGAACAATCAAGGGTTTCCTCTCCAAGGACTGGTTGCTTGTCCTCCATCACTTGGTACTGGTTCTGGTTTTCCTGCCTATCGCTTTGGTAAGTAAGAATTTAGTGTTGAAACACGGGATCGATCTCTGTGTGTTTTGAACACTCATGTCACTTATATGTGTCTTTCAGTTTCTCAGAAGAGGATTAGGCGATTTTTTCATTGGGTGCTTTTTCATCACAGAATTCAGCACACCTTTTCTCTGTTTCGGAAAGATCCTCATCCAGGTACTCAGCACACCACCATCGTTGGGGTTACTGTATTTGAAATAAGATGTGATTATACTGCAACAACAAAAGAGCAAAGTTGCTCCCAGAAGTAAAAAAAAAAAAGTGCTAATGAGTTATAATTGACTTATCTTTTTTGAGTCCCCCCCCCCACCCTTTTTTTTTAAACTAGTGAATGTTATGTCCGTGGATGGCCCGGTGGTCGACTGCTTAGTGCGTCACCCTCACAGTGCAGAGGTGCAGGGTTCGATTCCGGCTCCGGCCTTCCTGTGTGGGGTTTGCATGTTCGCCCCGTGCCTGCGTGGCTACTCCAGTTTCCTCCCACATTCCAAAAATATGCATGCCAGGCTGATTGAACACTCCAAATTGTCCCTAGGTGTGAGTGTGAGTGCGAATGGTTGGTCGTTTATGTGTGCCCTGCGATTGGCTGGCAACCAGCTCAGGGTGTACCCCGAAGACAGCTGGGATAGGCTCCAGCACGCCCATGACCCTTGTGAGGATAAACGGATTCAAAAAAGGATGGATGGATGGATGGATGTTATTTCTGTTGCATGGCCATTGCTATACCCCAAGGCCTTGCAACGCTTTCGTTCTGTGCTGATGACATTTCCATGTGGCATTAATGCATTTTTTTTTTTTTTTTTTGCAATCTGTCTGACTCTTCCTCTCCTGTCTGGGATCCAGCTGGGCCTTGACAACACCGGGCTGCACGCAATCAATGGCGTGTTAGTCCTCTTGACGTTCTTCATATGTCGGATCTTGATCTTTCCCTTCATGTACTGGATGTACGGGCGGCAAGTTGACCTTCCACTGCACAAAGTAGCCTTCCATCTGCCTTGGCACTGCAATGTGGGCAACCTGACCATCCTCATACCACAGATCTACTGGTTTTACCTCCTGCTGAAGAAAGCCAAGCGACTCTACAATAAACATAGGAAATTAAATTAACTCAAAACAGACCGCCCTTTTAACATAGAGTTGTTTGAGACGCACAAGGTGGTGTAAGTGCAGCTATTCTTTAAAAAAAAAAACAACAAAAAAAAACACTGTTTACAACTCATACATAGTTTACATTACTGTACACCTTTCTAAGCACTGTTAGTCTGCCTTCTGTTACAGCCAGCACAGTGCACTTTTCTGAAAAAAATGAATGTAATAGTTTTTTTCATGAGTTAAAAAATGCATGTATTTATGATTTTCATGATTCTATGCAAAAAAGTAAATAAATATACTCGTTCACTGTCTCAGTAAACACATACATGTGAAAAACATCTTGAAAGTAAAGCCAACCCTGAAGAAATGCAAAAGCCCTCTAATGTGAAATATTTGCTGAATTACCCCTTTCAGGGACAGCGGTTACTACATTGGACAGCTTATCATGTTATCAGGTTACAGGTTATCATTACTGTAGTGGTGCATGAAAGGGTTCATCCAAAATCCAATCTGAATTGTAATCGATACATCTGAACTTCTGAAGAGTGATGGGAAGCTTGAGTTTCTGTTGAAATGCATGCAAACCTTTTGTGAGGCCCGCAGCTTCTCAAAGGATACGTTTTATAGAAGGCTGGATTAACAGCCAGTGGAGGCAAGGAGGATAAACAACGAAAAACAGTGAGTGAACTACGCAAGTTGGAACTACAGTATCTAATTTGTTCAAATGGAGGCCCCCCTCTTCCATCGCAGGGTTTTTCTCACTGTGGCGGATTAGACCACAAGTTGGCCTGAAGCAGTTCCCCTATCCTCCACAACCTAGTTAGACGTCCGTGCTTTCCTATCGTCTTGGGTTTGCAAGTTTTGCCATGCCGTTCGATACAGTATCACATCCGTCAGGGGTCCGCAGTTGGTGTCGCAGCTGTGGTCAGCTTCAGCGGAGTCCTTGTTCAGGTACACCAAACTACTGTCGACCACCAGACAATCGTCTAACGGGTTGTACGAAAGTTTTCACAAAGCTCTGATTAGTAGTCATGATGTCGTTATTAAAAGTTGTTTGAAGTTTAGCAATTCAACACCTATCTCCAAAACATTACGAAAAAGCCTTACATTTATTTTGAAGCAATAGTATTTGTTATCTTGCTTTTATTGTGAAAACACGCATAGATTCAGATTGCCGTCCTTCTATTTCACATCCGTTCGCGCCTGCCGACCCCCAGTTCAGTACTGAACTACCAAAGCAGCGAATCTTTTGTTATTTTGCTATTAAAGGATAGATTTGTGTGTGCTGTAAAGTCGACACCATCGATTATCATGCTGAAAACTTTGGCTTGTGGAGTCGTGACATTTGCTGGATTGTACGTCGGCTTCAGAAAAGTATTCAGGGGGACATTCACGCGCTGGAGTGACGCGGATGTATTGATAGTCAGTGAAAGGTCAGTCTCCAACGAGTTCATTTGTGTCACCTTCACGCACTGAACATGCGCCGGTTAATTCGACACACTAACGTGGCCGTAAAGTCGATACTCGGCTCGTGTTAGTCGACTTCACTTGAGGGAGGCACACTGCAAGTGGCCGTAAAGTCGATACTCGGCTCGTGTTAGTCGGGTCCGAGTTCACTTGAGGGAGGCACACTGCACATCGTAGTAGCCTGTTGTTGTTGCACTGCTATTGGTTGGCAGCCCTGAGTCTTTTTTTTTTTCTGTAACAGTGGCAAACTTACGCACACTCTACCAAGTAGAGGTACATTCTAATACTTGTATTAATAGAAATAAAAATAAATTATACAGGCAAAAGTCTTTCTTGTCTGTAAGTGTACTTGTTTTTGTTTCTTTCAATTATGTACAATAGCGTGTGATAACTTGGCACGAGGTCAAAACTGCACACAAAATAGTTTCCCTCCTTTGTTTACAACTGTACATAGTATTCATCGTGACAAAGTTTTTTTCCTAAACCAAGTGCTAGCTAGTAGGGATCTTCCGATCAGGGTTTTAAGCTGCTGATACCAATCGTGTATCAATACCAATTACGTGGATTCGGTGTGATGTTTTCAATTCCACGACTACAGCTAGCATTTTTCTTGAATAGTCGATTAATTGTTTTCTTTTCATTGAATTAATTATCCAAACCGCTCATCCTTACAAGGGTCGTGCCGGAGCCGATCCCAGCCGTCTTCGAGCAGTAGGCAGGGTACACTTCCAACAGGTTGCCAGCCAACCAAACACAGGGCACACGTAGTGGAACAACCATTTGCGCTCACACTCACACCTAGCGCGAATGGTTGTTCGTTTCTGTGCGCCCTGCGATTGGCTGGCGACCGGTTCAGGGTGTCCCCCGCCTACTACCCGAAGACAGCTGGGATAGGCCCCAGCACCACCCCGCGACCCTTAGTGAGGATCAAACGGTTCGGAATATGAATGAATCAATGTATACTGACTATTTACTGCAGCGACACAACTTGAATGTACACCCTGAAGTGGTTGCCAGTCAATCACACAGTAACAGTACGATATGAGTTGGTAGTAATGTAATGTACAATTAAGTTTGTCTGCCGATTGTCAATAAACGGCACAGAAGAACAAGAACGAGCGAATTCGTTAGGTACAGTCGCATTTGTGCTCGCGTTTTGTTTTCAGGTTCAACGGAGAGCAAATGTTTTTCCAGTGTATTATCATGCAGTGCAATGCTGTTGAGTGCATTTTTAAAAATAAAATAACATGTTTAAAAAGTTTGTGTGTTTGGGGTGGTGGGCAAAACAGAATAATTGCATTTTCATTCATTTCAATGAAGAAAGCTGGTTTGAGATACAAGTGTTTTGGGATAAGAGCACAGGGGGGAAGGGGCTTAAATGCTTTGTGAGGAGAGGGAGCACCTGCTTTTTTGCTTCTATTTTTACAGCCACTTACGCTGGATCCAACACACCTACCAATTTTTAACATGTTTCAAACGTGAGCACCTCTGAACTGACCTGTGAGTGTCAGAATCGTACCACAAGACATTGACACTACCAGAAGATACAAAGACGAATGCACATAAGTACTGTATGGTTGTCGTAAACGAGACACGAGAAGACGGGCGCTAGCTAGCTTCAGGGTCACTTCCATCTTGGTTAGCGAGTCAAGGAGTCCGTGGCTGACCCAGGATTTGGGTTTGGTAAATATTGAAAGTTTTAACATGAACATTTGTCAGCTGTTCTCTGAGATGTGTTGGTGATTGTTTCTGGGTTCAGGCTCCTTGATGCTATCCACGCTTCTTTGGCTACTGCAACTGGAGTCATCACCGCAACGTCATGCAAGCGCATCATGACAGACAGGTAATTTTAAAGGGATCATCCAGGCGGAATGGTCCATTTTTCAGAAACAAGCTCAATTTATGTATCTATATTTTTCTGTTATCAAGAAGAACGATATTAGCTTGCAGAAACAAAAAAACTAACGACATTAAAAGGGCCCTCTATAAATGAACAGCGTGGCTATGCCCGCCTCCCCTACCTCCATGTCTTGGGGGGAGTCGCGGTAGGGACCAGAGACAACTTGTCCAATCAAAATCACTGTGAATACATCGCTTACCCTTATATTGTCAATCATACAATCACCCAACTCTATATTGCCCTTCGAAACCCCTGTTCCTATTACTCCAAAATTTGAGATTTAATGTTGTCCCACCACTATCATCAAGTTTTATTAAAGCCAAAATCTGCTTGGTTCAACCCGCTGGGTGATTTGGCATGAAATGACCCATCGGAGCTCATGTTTGAAATCAATAAATCCAAAATGTTGTGCCAATGTTCAGCCTTCTCAAGTGTCCTTTTAACCTGTGTGATTCTCTCCTGGATTTGATCCTTGCGACTCTTACAAGAGCAATATGGTCGACGGAATTAAAGTCACTCTTGTCAATTCTTCTGACCATACACAGTCACTGGGTGCTCAGCGAGTTTCTGGTGTTTGGATATCCCTATTCGGCCATCGACCTGTACGCCACATACATGAGCCACTATCATACTCAGAAGCTCAGAGGGAACAGCATGTACGACAAGCACTCTCTGATAACACTGAAGGCTTTCCTCTCCCACTATTGGTTGACGGTGCTTCATCACCTGGGAGTGCTTGGTATTCTCCTACCCGTTGGCATGGTAAGAATTCATGTGCTGAAACATGAGATCTGTTGGTCAGCTTTGAACACTCACTCCACTTTTGTGGATATTCAGAAAACGTCATTTATCCTCATTCGTGTCTTTCAGTTCTACAGGAGGGGACTGGGTGATTTTTTCGTCGGATGCTTATTCATCACAGAACTCAGCGTCGCTTTTGTTGCCATTTCAAAGATCATCGTCCAGGTACTCGACTCGTCCGTCTCATTGGGGCTGCATTGGGCAGTTTGTTAACCCAAGCAATTCCTATCTCGCATCCAGGTGGGCCTGGAGAACACCAGGCTGCACAAAATCAACAGCATCTTAGTTCTGATCACGTTCGTCATGTGCCGGATCTTGATCTTCCCCTACATGTACTGGAAGTACGGACGGGATTTTGGCATTCCACTGCACAAAGTGCCCTCCCACCTGCCCTGGCACTGTAATGCCGGCAACCTGGCTATCCTTGTGCCTCAGGTCTACTGGTTCTACCTCCAGCTGAAGAAAGCCCAGCGAGTGTTCCGACACAAGAAAGACTAACACCAACCATGCTCCCCAAAACGGAACGATCGTGGGAATTTCAGAGTGAAATTTCAGCATGAATCTAAAATGCACCGGACAGTTGGACAGTCAAAAGTCGACATTTGTTCAGGTTAAGGTTATACGTAGGTTCATCTTAAAATGTCAAAAGTGCAATAGTCCCTAACTTTTTGTGAGTAGTGTAACTTCACTGGAAACTCACACTACAATGCCAGTACAAGAAAACTGAAGCGGGATAACTTTCTGACCAATTTCTCCACCATGACAAAATTCAGCAGCAGCCTGATTATCTGATGGCTTTAGATCACAGGTGTCAAACTGAACATTTTCAACAACAACTACTTGACCATATTTTATAGTCATGTGTAGGATTTGTCAGATCAGGGGGAAAAAAATCTGTGTGTGTAACCCACTGAATACCTATTTCACACCAAGTAAGTGAATTTTGTGAGTCAAGCGAAACAAGAGCGTCTCTTTTTCTTTTTTTTTTTTTTTCTTCAATACGAAGTTTTGGTGACTTTTTTTTGGGTGGTGTGTCATGAGATTTTGCTAACGTGAATGGCTGGGGAAATGCTGTACTTGAATAAAAAGGCATGCAATGGAATTGTTTTCATGTGTGAATTTTGTCAATTTTCTTAGACTTCCTTTGAAACAAATTAGCTGACAGTCCAACAAGTGCATCGCAATAAAACACAAAAAGGCCTTGTTAACAACTGCCATTCATTTCACCCAAACTCAAAACCCGTGCCTTCATTTTCCCGCAAGAAATCATGTCATCAGTACAACTGGGGCAAAACGCAGCCATTAACATGTGAGCAAAAAAAAAAAAACATGGCAAGGTCGTCACGCAGGAGATAACGTGAGTTGAGCTATCTTCTGCTGGAGAACGGACTTCATCTCCTGGTTGGCCAGGTTATCCGTGATGGTGTTGAAAAAGTGCTTGCTGTTTTCATTTTCCAGTGGGCTGCTGCTCTCAGGGAAAGCGCCCATGATGGCCTGGTAATGACTGAGGATCTCCAGGCTGGACAGGAAGAGAGGTTCACTCTGGCCACCAGGCATCATCACCTTACAACAAAATGAGAGCAATCAATCGATATGGTCAGTGAACAAAACAAAACAAAACAAAAAAGATCACTGCAGAATAAAACAGGAACAGAAACTGTATGTGTGGTTTGGCATTTGCAAATTTGTCAATAAGTCCCAATTTATTTTGGGAAACTTATCTGTTATTTGCTGACAAGCTCCCCAAACAATATTGTTTAGGTGTTTTTTTGGGTGCAAAAAAGTAAAGGAGGAACTTCACTTCATCAATCCAAAGCCTGAGCTAATAGGGAAAAAAAAGTGTTTTGATACAGTCCTGTAGGATCTACAGCCAATTACATTTTTGGGGTGGCGTGAATTAGGATTTATCTTTTTTTTTTGTGCAGACGTTACATCAAATTAGACACCTTTTTATGTCAAAGACAAATGAGTAACAGATGAAGGGTATGTTATAGCGTGCTTCCTCAATTCAGTTCAAACTTACATTTTCATTTAACACAGGAAAATCCTTTTTAGAGGGTCTTCTCCTCCCAGATTTCTATACAGTATTCCGAACAATTTTGCTGTCTTGAAGTAATATTCTAATTTCTTGAGATGGTGAATTTTGGGTTTTTGCCGGAATCATGTGTGACCATGAAATATTTTACTCTGCGTGTAGTGAATCTATATCTCGTTTTCACTCTGTACTGAATGACTGAAATCAAACAAGTTAAATAATATTCTAATTTATTGGTACTTTCCTGGCTATTCTATAGAAGAGAACATTCTCCGATCCCTCCCCCAAAAAAAAAAAAATTGTTCATCACAGATCCTGAATGCTTCTTACCTGGACGTGTTGAACGTGACAAAAGATCTGACTGAGAACGAAAAGAACCTCCTGAGTGGGAACTTGCTCGCCCGTCGTCTGCGTGCCTTCTTTGAAATCTTTCAAACAGTCTTGGGACATTTTAGGAGATTTGTCTGTCGTTGGTTCGCTTTGTACTTGAGGCGAGACTGTCGGAAGGCCAGATGTAGGGAGGGCTAATTTGGCCCTCAGCGAGTTCATCACCTCCTTCACCGTGTGGGCATATAATCTGGCAACGTGAGCCCAGCCGTCTCCTGTCAGCCAGTGGCAACAGCTGGATCCGCAGAGCAGCTGCAGGACTCGGAGCATGAGGACCGAGAGGCAGAGTTCATAGGAAAATTTCCTCAAGTCTAGGAGGGGCAGGAAGTCCACGTACTCCAGTGAGAAAGGCACATGGAGGCGACCGGAGGTGATCAGCCCTTTTAAGGCTCCAAGTAATCTGCTCCATTGGGGGACAGAGCACCAGGGCATGGTCTGGGTTAGCGCCACCAGCAGGCCCTTACTGAACATGCTGACGTGCTCCGACTGGCGCTGGTCCAAAGCCAGACAAGACAACATGGTGGACCGAAGGGAGTCTGACAACGTGCAGCACTCCATCCACGCCAAAAGACCGGTCCCCTGTCCGTACTGCGGCAGGTTCACACCCGTCCACTCCTAAAAGTGATGGAAAGACACACACACATGCGATAAAGGGCAATTTAAACAAACGTGCAGCACAACAGTTGACTGGAACTAAGTACCGTATTGGCCCGAATATAAGACGGCCCTGATTATAAGTCGACCCCCTCTTTTTCAAGACTCAAGTTTGAAAAAAGACTTTTTGAACACCAAATTAGTTTTTATACAGAAAATAATTACAGCACATCTGAAACAAATGATTATAACAATATATTTGAGAGAAAAAAGCATGTTATTTTGCCTCATTCAAATCTAAAGTGCAATCACATTCGTAAATGAATGGCTTCTGGTTTTTGAAATGTAAATTACCGGTACATCATAACTTCTCCTCAGCTGCCGGTTAACCTGGCCGATCTTCGACCCACTTTTCTCCAGATTGTCACTACGTTTCTCCATTTTCTGTTATGTCTTCTATTATTTTCTTCTCTTTTCCTTCTTACCGCTATTTTTTTCTTCTTCGTGCTACCGCTATTTTTATTTTTATTCTTCGTGGCAGGGGTTCACTTTGGCCTGGGGAGTCAAGTTCAGCATTCGCTTCAATGATATCTGGCGTCATCTAGCGTCGTGATGGGTATAATGTCTAGACCCCGAATATAAGACGACCCCCCCTTTTTCAGTCTTATTTCAATGCAAAAAACACCGTATTATATTCGGGCCACTACGGTATATTGTCTCAGAATGTCCTATTTGAAATGATCAACTTTAACCCACATAGTATTTACATTTACTTGATCTTGTTTATTAGAGGCCACTTGCAAATTGAATCGAATTTAGTCTAACATCAAGTCAAGTCAACTTTATTGTCAAATGTGCTCTATGTGCAACATACAGCACAGATGAAATTTCTTTCCTCTCAACCACAGGAGAGAGAGGAGCCGCTGCGGGTACCCGCGCCGCCATCAACAACATTAACGTCTAATGCCAAGTGGCCCTGAAGTCGCAGCAATTCAAAATTGGTCAAATACTGTCCTTTCGGGAAAAATACAACATTAAGTCTTGCGAGACATTAGCTGGGTGAGCGTCAGATTTTCTGTTGGGTGTGTGAAAAAAAGTGGGATATTTTATTTCGAGACCATACCGCCCATAAAAATAAGTGTTTACAAGAGCATAAGCAGCTTCAGCAGCTCCAGACAAACTCCCACCTGTTCGGGAAGCTCACACACTGCCAACAGAGCTGAGGGAACTTCATTTTTGAAGTGTTCACCCCACACGGGTTTCAGGTGGAAGTAAACCGTCCAGTCCAGGCCCTTCATCTTATCGTGCAGCCAGAAGAGAGCTCTGGACCAGCGACTTGGGGCAGCTTCCACCTGGGCACCAACGACCTGTGCCAATGTGATCAGCACTGAGGTCAGCAGCTCTTTGGTTTCCATGGACCAACGGAGCACAGCGCCCTCGGTTGGTTGCTCCCAACACCTTGGGAAAGACAAAACGGTCAGGGACCAAGACCAGGGTCAATTGGTCGGAATTTCAGGGTCACTGAATCTTTACAGTCCATGTCCGTGAGCAACTCAGAAACATTTTTCTTTTACATTTCCATCCAAAGTTGTCGCATTTGACTGGAAAGAATACATATACTGTATAATATTAATGGAATAACTTACTTCACCTTTTAAATGTATAATATACTGTATACCTTTCACGGGACCAAGGACACTTACATATTGTCACATTCCTAAAAGAAGCATTAAGACTCTTTTTTTTAAACACGAAAAACTGAACGGAATACTAATACGGAATACGATTATATTAAAAATGAATAATAATAATTTTGCATAATCTGTTCAACTGAGGATGTCGGCAATTGTTGGTGACCCGCATCCTGAGAAGATGATATTGGCAAAAATTATAGCACTGGTCAACAAATATGCCAAAAATAAGTTTGGTTTTTTTTTTGTGTGCTCATTCTGAATCTGCCCTTGTTTTTCATAATATAATAATAGTTTAATGACAAAAAAATGTAACAGTCATACATTTAGTAATATTTATGGATTAAGGTGGATTTTGGGGGGGTTGGGTGGGGGAGGAAACACAAGGTAAAATCCATATTGCGCAAGCGTTTGTAGGTCAAACTTCAAAACAAAAAATGAAAATATCTCAAAAACCTTTTGTATTAGGGAAAAAAGTAAAGACATTTTGGAACTCAGCATCAAAAATATGTTGAGGGACACATGAAGCCATATCTGATTAAAATTTGCTGCTGACCTGTGTAATTGATGTAAAAAAATAAATTAACAAGGTAAAATTATAAAGGCGATGTGATTTTATACAGGTGCATCTCGATAAATTGTGGATAGATTATTTGATTGAGTTCACTTCAAAAACTGAAACTCATTACAGATATTTACAAAGCATTAAATTCTTTTGATAATTACCAGTATAGTTTGCAGCTGGCCAAATCCGGAATACACAATCTGAAGAAATTATTAGACCATTACGTTAGAACCACCTCAATTTTTTTTTAATACAGAAATTAGTTGAGAATTGGCTATGTGTTTAAAATCATTATTTATTTATTTTTATTTAATTCTATCATTTATACCCCTCCAAGTACAGTACTATATTTTAAGAGGCCTGCAGTAATTCCCTTATTTTTATTCGACTTTTTCTTTGTTGCTCAGGCTCCGTTTTTCAATTTACCGTCACCTCTGGTGTTACTCGATTTATGTTGTTTTCTGACAGTTTTGGTCCTTAAATGTCATATTTGCCCTAAACTTTGCCTGTATGTGT